TACCGTTTGCACCACGGCCCCTCCGCTCCCCCGCCGCCACGCTGGGGGACGCTTCTTGCTCGTGGTATTGCTGTTTTTGATATGACTATGGATGATGCTAGGTCCTATGCCATGTATGCTGATGTTGACTATAGTGCTCCTAGATCTGTGTACTTGCCTGTACCTAGCTTAGGATCTTTGCCTGTTGCTAGAGTAGGTGCTAGTGTAGGATCTTGCTTAGCTACTAGTACAGGTACTCCCTCGGCGGACGCCTCTCTCTCTTTCACACTGGACTCAGGAGCGACGCAGTGCTTCTTTCGCGACCGCACGACTCTCTCTCCACTACCGGCGCCAGTCTCCATAGCACTGGCCGATCCCTCTTCGGGACCGGTCATTGCGACTCACGCCACTACGCTCCCGTGCCCAGCTGCTCCTTCCGGTTCCCTGACTGGCCTCCACGTTCCTACGTTCTCTAGGAACCTGGTTGGTGTGGGCCCCCTGGCGAGACAGCACGTCGGGGTCTGGGTTGAGCCTTCTGGTGACACCGCGGTCTGTGTGGACGGTGACACGTACGCCCCCTTGGCCACTTTTCGCCAGGAGCCGGGCTCCGGTCTGTACACCCTCCACACCGACCCCCGTCAGGTTCCTCCGTCCCACCAGGTAGCCAGGTCCAGTCAGGTTGCTGTGTCCGGTCTAGTTGCTGCGTCGTGCTCGTGTCGGTCGCTTGCCCACCCCTCCCTCCTCTGGCACCACCGCCTTGGTCACCCGTCCCTCCCTCGTCTCCGCGCTATGTCCAGTCAGCGTCTTGTCTTAGGCCTCCCCCGAGTCCTTCCGCCGCTCCCGCCGTCCCCAGCTCCTCCGTGCGGTCCTTGTGTCCAGGGTCGGCTGCGCGCCACCCCTCACTCCTCCTCCCTCCGTCCGGCCACTGAGCCCTTCGAGACACTCCACTTAGACGTCTGGGGCCCCGCTAGCCATCTTGGCCCTGAGCGGGAGAGTTTCTTTTTGGTGGTCGTTGACGACTACTCTCGGTACACCACCGTGTTCCCTTTGGCGAAGAAGTCCGACGTGACTTCTACGCTGATCCGGTGGCTGCTCGCCACCGAGAGTACTCGCCGTCGTCGTGTCAGTTGTCTCCACTCCGACCGTGGGGGTGAGTTTCGCTCCGGCATTCTCGCCAGATTCTGTGCTGAGCAGGGCATCACCCAGTCCTGGACTCTTCCAGACTCTCCACAGCAGAATGGGGTTGCTGAGCGCCGCCTAGGCCTGGTCATGGAGATTGCCCGCACCTCCATGATCCACGCCCGCGCGCCCCATTTTCTGTGGCCCTACGCGGCTCGGTACGCCGCTCACCAGTTGAACCTCTGGCCTCGCGTCTCACGGCCAGGGGCTTCACCGACCAGTCTTTGGACAGGGTCCCCTGGTGTTGCGTCTGGGGGTGCTTGGCTCTTGTCCGCGACACCTCTGCGGACAAGATCTCACCTCGCGCCGTCCCCTGTGTCTTCCTTGGTTTCCCAGAGGACTCCTCTGACTTCACCTTTTACCACCCTCCCTCCCACCGGTTCTTTGACTCTCGTGACGTCCGTTTCGACGAGTCCGTCCCCTACTACGTCAGGTACCCCTGTCGAGGTCTCCCGGTTCCCCCCCCTCCCCTCTTCCTGGCTCCAGCTCCTCCTCCTCCCGCCCCTGCTCCTCCGGTACCCCCCCCTGTTCCCGCTCCGTCTGGTGTGTCCCACGCTACTCCCCCCCCCTCGGTACCCCCCCAGGTCTCTCCTCCCTCCCCTCAGTCATCCTCAGAGCCTCCGCAGCAGCCGTCAGCGCTTCCTCTGCCGGCCACTGCGGACTCTGAGGATGTTGGTGCTCGAGGTGAGGGCTCTGGCGGTGCTCGCTCTGGGGGTGCTGGCGTTGGAGCTGTTCGTGCACCTACAGGAGCCGCCCGTTCTGGGGGTGTTGGCGTTGGCGCTGAGCGTGCACCTGCCGCAGCTGCCCGTTCCGAGGGTACTGGAGCTGGTGGTGGTGCTGGAGCTGGTGGTGTTTCTGGAGCTGGAGAGTCTGGGGCTGGTGCTGGTGCCACTGGAGGCACCACGACTGGGGGTGCGGGTACACCTCCTACAGGTGCTGGTCGTGCTGCCGCGGGAGGTACTCGCTCTGGGGGTGCTCAGCCGGGTACTGTCGAGGACGGAGGAGGTTCTTTGGCTGCGTCTCCTGACGCCACTCCTCCTCCTCACCCCTACCCGACTCGTTACCAGGCCCTTCTTCGTCTAGAGCGTGAGGAGCAGCAGCGTTTGGAGCGTGAGAGGTCGGAGGTCCAGCAGCGTTTGGAGCGTGAGAGGTTGGAGTTGCAGCGGGAGCAGCCGCAGCAGCAGCAGCAGCAGCAGCAGCAGCAGCAGCAGCAGCAGCCACAGCAGCCGGAGCAGCCTCCGGCCCCTGTTTCTGGCCTTCGGGCCCTTGGTCTCCCCTCCCCCCATCCTGTGTTCGGTCCTACGTTTCCTCCTCCGGACTCAGCTCCGGCTGTGTTCCCTCGTTCTCAGTCTCCTCCGTCTCCCCCTCCTCTCACCCACACTTGGACGTTGGACTTCTCGTCCTCCTCGTTCTCGTCCCTCGTCACCTGTCACTGACCTCCGTACCGTGTTGTTTCGTTCTAGTTCCCCTCGTCCTCCTCAGCCTGTTCTTCCTCGTCCTCCTGAGTCGTCCCTCACTGCCTCCCTGTCCACTCCGGTCTCTGACTACTACCGCACGTACCGCCCCACTCTCTCTCGTGTTCTCGCCTCTCTTGTTACAGACCCCCGTGCCTCTCCTTCCTCCGTCGCGGTCCTCACTGCCGCTGTCACTGACTTTACTGCTACGCGTCGCCTTGACTACGCCACTCGTGTTGTGGCCGCTCCTCCTGTCCGTCCTCTGTCCGCCGGGGGTGAGTCTGCCCTTGGCTGTGACGTCCTAGAGGACAGACAGTTTGAGCTAGAGTTCCTGGCAGCTGCTTCGCCTCATCTCTGTGCCATGCTCCTCGCTCCTGAGGGAGACCCCGACGCTCCTGACATTCCTACTCCTCGCACTTACGCTGAGGCAGTGTCAGGGCCTTGGGCCTCTCAGTGGAGAGCTGCCATGGACGCAGAGATGGCCTCCTACAGGTCCACAGGCACTTACGTTGACGAGGTTCCCCCCCCAGGGGCGAACATAGTTGACGGCATGTGGATCTTCAAGGTGAAGCGGCCGCCGGGATCTCCCCCAGTCTTCAAGGCACGCTACGTGGCTAGAGGGTTCAGTCAGCGCGAGGGGGTTGACTTCTTTCAGACCTTCGCGCCCACCCCGAAGATGACCACTCTTCGGTTGTTACTTCATGTGGCGGCACAGAGGGACTACGAGCTACACTCCCTCGACTTCTCCACCGCCTTCCTGCAGGGCAGCCTACACGAGGAGATCTGGCTGCGTCGTCCTCCGGGCTTCACTGGCACCTTCCCGCCTGGGACCCAGTGGAGCCTCAGACGACCGGTCTACGGTCTCCGCCAGGCACCCCGTGAGTGGCACGACACTCTCCGCTCTACTCTGTCCGACCTCGGGTTTCAGCCGTCTTCCGCCGACCCGTCGCTGTTTGTTCGTCGTGGGCGCACACCTTTCTTCGTTCTGGTCTACGTTGACGACTTGGTTTTTGCCACAGCCGACACAGTTGCACTGGCGGAGGTGAAGTCCGAACTGCAGAAGAGACACACCTGCACTGACCTTGGGGAACTGCGCCGCTACCTTGGCCTGCAGATCTCCAGGGACAGAGCCGCTCGCACCATCACTCTGACTCAGTCACACATGGTGCAGCAGGTCCTTCAGCGGTTCGGGCTTCAGCACTCCACTCCTGCACCCACCCCTCTTGCTGTAGACCACAGACTCACTGGGCCTTTTCCTGACGAGCCGTTCGAGCCCAGTGGTCCCTACGCAGAGCTGGTGGGCTGCCTCATGTACCTGATGACGTGCACTCGCCCGGACCTCGCCTTCCCTCTTAGCATCCTTTCTCGCTTTGTTGCGACTGGGAGACACCGTCCTGTTCACTGGACGGCAGCTAAGAGGGTGGCGAAGTACCTCGGCGCGACATCGGACATGGGGCTTGTACTTGGAGGGACACAGCCAGTTGTACTCACCGGTCACTGCGACTCCTCGTACGCCGACGACGTTGAGACTCAGAGGTCTACGCAGGGTTACTGTTTCAGCCTAGGCTCTGGAGCTGTTTCGTGGAGGTCTACTCGGTCTTCCTCTGTTGCGACTTCTACCGCAGAGGCCGAGATCTACGCTGGAGCCCTTGCTGCACAGGAGCTACGCTGGTTGACCTTCTTGCTCACTGACCTTGGTGAGCGGCCGAGCTCTGCACCGACCTTGTTTGCTGACAACAAGGTGATGATTCTCCTGTGTCGAGAGCCTCGACTGGAGAGCAGGGTGAAGCACATCGACGTCAGGTACTTCCTCCTTCGAGAGTTGCAGAGACGCGGACAGGCTCGTCTGGACTTCGTGGCCTCCGAGGCCAACACTGCAGACATCTTCACCAAGGCTCTTCAGCCTTGTGACCACCGTCGGTTTTGTCTGCAGTTAGGCCTCGTTGAGACTGGGTCTAGTAGACTGCAGTAGTGTTTTCCTGCCTCTTGTTTGCTTGTATCACATATATATTAGCTTGTACACTCTTGAACTGGCCTTGTGGCCCCTTGTTTGTGCTCAGAGTGTGTGGTGACGTTGTGATCCACCCTGAGCTGTGTTTTCTCTCTTGCTTGTGACTGGTCTTGTGACCTTAGGTTGTGTTTTTTGTTGCTTGGCATTCCCCACTTAGGCTATGGGGGTGTGTAAAATGTAATAGCCTCTAGTGGGTTGCCAATTATATGCATGGTTAGTTTAGCTAGGCTATATGGGGGTTAACACTAGGGGGTACACAATTTCTCTCGACATTCTTGTACTCCCCCCCTTGACCTAATCAATCATCCTAGCCTAAGTATTATGACAATGCATCACACTATCCCTACAACCTGCATTCAGCGTGTCTGAGTAGCATGTTACAAAACAGAACCTGGCAGATTTACAGAGTTTCCAAGGCTGAGTCGTTTGGAACTTGGGCTGATGGCCACTCCGTGCCGATCCGCACAAGCGAGTAGCGCCCCTAATGCCCCTGCATGCCCATTATGTCTCAAAAACATGGCCTGGAGGAAAGAGGAGAAAAGGGGAGCATGAACACGCCTACCCTTCGAATTTTGAAATTTAGCCATGGTACACAGCAAGCATCCCCAGTTCCCCACAACTGGCATGTGTGCATTTGGCACCTCACCTTCATGGCTCCGTTGGACCAGAACTGCATGGCCACCGCTAGCGATCGCATGGCCAGCTGCAAGGGCAGGGCAAAAAGGGGAGCACGTAAGGTATGAGCAAGAAGAGTGTTACTACCAGGAGGAGGAGGGGGACTTGTAGATATGCCACCAGCAACATTTGCACCATCACCTTTCTCACCAGCGCCCTTTCCACCAGCATCATCCGACCCAGCAGCACCACTCCCATCAGCATCATTCCCAGCAGCATCATTCCCAGCAGCACCATCCCCACCGGCACCTTGTTGTTGTGCATGAAGCTGCCCGTGAAGAGCACGTGGCGCACGCCTGCAGGGCGAGCATGCAGCATGGCGATGGACCCGATGTTGTTCGTCACCATCAGCAGCACCGCCTTTGCTAGATTCTCCGGCCGGCGACTCGGCGACGCCTTGTCAGCAGGCCGCACCAGCTGGGGGATGGGGATCGGGGAGGGACGAGGGTGGAGGTAGGCGGTTCGAGTGAATGAGGATGGAGGAGCAAGAAAAGAGAGGTTCTTGCGAGACACACGAAAGCACACACGTGGCTTCCCACTTACTGAATCGACTGTCAGGTTGCAATACAACAAACGGCAGAAGCGGCGCACACAATAAGAGGAGCTTTAATCTGACAAGTGGTTCCACAGCAGGCAAGTAGTTGTTGTGAGACGGCCAGGAAGGTTACAAACTCACTGCTCCTTACCTGGTATGGCAATGCGTGCTCACACCACGAACCATGTGCAAACATACCTTTCCCAAGGAGCTGGCTACAGTGGTGGCTGCCAGGCCCATCTCCGTATAATCACCTCCTGCAACAGTCAATACCACCAAACCATGGGGACGGACCAAGAAAATGCATTCACTAGCGAATACAACGGCAATCCGGTTTCACAGCCACTACCCTCCAGGTCGAATACAAAACAGTGAATCGGAGTAGAGACACCAAGAGAGAAGAAAACAGTGGGGAGACAAGGAGGAAAGTGGAACCTAATCTAAGAAGTGCGCACTACAGATTTTGGACCAGATAAATAGGGAAGCGAGGTTATACTACAAGGCATGTGCGCATGTGCAGTATGGGTGTTCGTGTGAGGTGTGCAGGGTGGGCAGGCCAACCCACCATAGATGTCTCCCACTAGCATGTCCACACACGTGCTGTCACCCCTCGATGCCAGGCGCATGGCCTCCTTGAAGCTGGTGCGGGGGAGACATGGAAAGAGGGGAGGGGTGAAGAGAGGAGAGGAGAAGAGAGGAGAGGAGAGGAGAGGAGAGGAGAGGAGAGGAGAGGAGGAGAGGAGAGGAGAGGAGGAGAGGAGAGGAGAGGAGAGGAGAGAAGAGGAGAGGAGAGAGAGAGAGAGAGGAGAGGAGAGGAGAGGAGAGGAGAGAAGAGGAGAGGAGAGGAGAGGAGAGAAGAGGAGAGGAGATGCATGAAAGATGAGCATTGTGCAGGAATGGTGGAAAATGAACGGAATTATAAAGCAAATGATCCCCAGCATGGCATGGCATGGAAGGCATGGCGTGGCATGACATTGCACATACCTGGTGCAGCCCGTGAGGGCAACTGCAAGACCCAGAAAGGTGCTGGAGTGTGCACATGCAGGGGCGGACATGGGAGGCAGAGGAAGAGGAAGAGGAGACAGGGAGGATTGTGACAAGTAACAAGAGAGGACGACTCAGGCACTTAGCTAAGAGAAAAAAACGGAGGGCACAGGGACGAGACAAGCAGAGCATGAAGGCAAAGTGGGGAGAGAGCAGAGGGAAAAGCAAGAGGGGTGAAGCAAAGAAGCAAGCATGCCCGACAGAATTGATTTGCGACTCCATGCTGCGCAAAGACTCGAGCGCAAGCCGCAGGGACGAGAAGGCAGGCAGGAAGTGGGACACGCACGGGCAGGAGGGCAGGGATGGGAGGGCAGGGATGGGAGGGCGGGGATGGGAGGGCAGGGAAGCAGACCTGCCGCCAAGAGAGGAGCCCCCCACCCGCTCAAACTGGCCGGGCGCATCGACTCTCAGGATGGACACTCCCGACCCTATGTTCACCTGCCATGCACACAGCATCAACACACACACGAGTCGTGCAGCGGTGCAACGAGGGAGGCTGATAGGTGAGGCGAGGACAGGCTTGAGGAGGACGGCAGAGAGGCAGAGGCAGAGAATGGGAGGTAAGGCTTGTGTTTTACTGGCTGGCACCAGGTGGGCATCAGGTGGGGACTGGAGCAAAAGTAGGGGCCGTGGATCAGGAAAAGCAAAGTGACCATGGACGCAAAAAAATAACACACTAGTCCATTTGTTTCCCTCTTCAGCACATCCGAATATTTCAAGAAGCCCTCCATCCCCCTCCCCCCACCCCTACCCCTCCCATCCCCCCTCCCTCCCTCCTCCCACACCCCGCACCCGCCTCTCAACGCACCACAAGGTAGGGGTACGTGAGCTGTTCCGGGGGGCTCTCCTCTGCCCTGCTGCCCGCATCCACCCCTTCCCTCCTCTCTCCCCTCTCCTCCTCCTCCTCGTCTTCATCCTCCTCGCCTTCATCCTCCTCTTCCTCTTCCCCCGCCTCCTTCTCCAGCCTCCCACTCCCCCTCACTGCACCGCCATCGCCATCAGTGCTCTCCTCATCACTATCGCCCCCCTCCCCATCCTCCACATCCGCCTCCACCCCATCCACAACACCTTCCCCCTCCACACATGCACCTTCCCCCGCCGCCCCCGCTCTCTCCTCCTCCCCTGCCGGCCCAGACTGCAAGCCACCTTCCCCCTCTTCCCCCTCTTCCCCCTCTTCCCCCTCTTCCCCCTCTCCCCCTTCTCCCGCCTCTCCCACCTCTTCCCCCTCGCTGCCCGTGCATGCACGCCCGTCACCGTCACTGCCAGCGCGGAACGCCTGTGCCACCTCGTCCCAGTCAGATGCCGACTCCCCCCGACCATGCCCCTGCTGCTGCTCGTCTCCCCCTTGCTCTGCCCCGTGCCCATGCCCATTCCCATTCCCAGTCCCATTCCCCTCTTCTCCATGCTTAGCAATTCCGGCTCCGCTCATCCTTCCCGCCCTCTCCTCCCCTTCCCTCTCCGCCCCACCACCAGCATCACCTCCGCTCCTCTTGCTCGCCCGCCCGCCCTCCCCCTTCTCGTCCTCCCCGTCGCTGCTACCGCTGCAGCTGCTGCTGCCGCAGCTGGCAGACAGGGACTCTGACCCTGAATCGCCGCCAGGCCTCTGGATGGCGCCACGTGGCAGCGCGTCCACGTGGGCAAATCCGTAGCAGTCGCCAGGCGCCACGCGCACAAGGAAGTCGATTCCGCGCACCAGACTAGCGCGGGGAAAAGGGGGGGTTTAGGGGAGCGGGGAGGGTTGGGGGAAGGGGGTTGGTGGGGTGGGGGAAAGGGATGATGAAGATATGGAGGAGGGTTGACGAGAGGAGAAAAGCGGAATATATGCAAGCATTAGACGAGGCTGTGCGGCTGGGTGGGTTGGGAGAAGCAGCGTGGAGGAGAGGCAGGTGAGGGCAGCGAGGGAGAAAAAACATGGGAATGGGGGAATGGGGGATACGGGAAGGCTGGGTGGGTGGGAGGAGTAGGGTGGAGAAAGGAATGAGGCAAGAAAAGAGGGACCGGAGGGGGGAACGATGGAGGATGGGAGAGCCACATGAGAACGATGGCATGGCACGATATGGCATGGCATGGCATGGAAGAACACTCACCATTGCAGCTCATCTGCTCGTTCCAGCTGCACGCCCGCTATCCCTTCAAACTGCCCTCTGAACTTGCGCGCGCCGCCCCTGCGCGGGGGAAAGCATAAGGGGACGTAGGAGCGGAAAGGGAGGAGGTGGGAGCAGGAGACGGGCGGGAGAAGCACGGAGGAAAGAAAGTGAGAAGCAAGAGCGAGGGTTAGGAGGGCAAGGAGAGATGTTGGGTGCCACAATGCCACGTGGCACGAAAAGGGAATGAAACGCGATGAGATAACGTGACAGTATCAGCAATGCTAGCGTGCCTGCATTGGCCCACGTGACAAGAAAAGGCTAAATACTCCTGAACCCGCTACTGTGATTCACCAATCCCCGGCCTCACCCCGTGGCGCCTACGGGGTGCGCGGCGAGCATGCCTTGGCTGCGGCGCTGCACGAGCGCGAGAAAATCGTCCATGTGCCACGTCTCTGCGCGCGGGGGGACCGGGGGATGGGGGGATGGGGGCCACGCGGAAGAAAGGCGGAAGGGGCGGAGAGGAGGGAAGTGGGGACGGTAGTGGGGAAGGCGGAGAATTCAGGAGCGCGGAGGGAGGTGCGGGATGTGTGCGGGAGACGGGTCCGACAGAGCGTGGTATGCGCACCGATTCTCCAGGTCGCGCTCGCGAGATCGCATTCCCGAATACAATCGCAGCGCGGCAACTGTCGAATCACAACCGCCCACAGAAGCTGAAGAAGCTCCTGCCTTCCTCCCATCAATGGCGGTCGTTTGCCCAACCCTTCCTCACCACTTCCCCCAACCTACACCTTTCGATCACTCGCACTCACCGAATTGTTTGAAGTACAGACGCCCGCCTCCCGGCCCAAGCCCGATCGGCTCATGGCTCTCCCGCCACTGGTTGCTGCGCGCCCCCGCGCTGCGCTTTTCCCTTCGCACCGCGCCGCACCTGCCGGCGCACTTCCCTGTCTTGGAACTGCCGCCAGGCGATCCGCCGCATCTGCAACTACAAGTCCCACCGTCGCCACTTCTCCGCTTCGAAAAGTCTGGAGACCGACCGTTACCGCTAGCGGGGACAGACACTGCAGACGACAAACCGTCAAGTGAATGACGGATGAATTCTGCGTCGGGATTGGAACCGTGCGGCTCGTAGCAGACCAGCTTGCAGAGCGTGCCGCCGATATCGAGGCCGAAGCGCGCCCCATTGGAGAGAACGAGCCAATCGGCGACGGCCTCGAGGGAGAGTGGCCGATCGACTTTGGGCGGCGGCGCAATCTGACGGTGGCGAGACGACGAGGCGCCGTCGAGGGCGGGAGAGAAGGACGACGGCATTTGGTGAGTCAAGTTCTACGGAGCCTGGCGAGGATAAAACACACGAGGCGACTAACAGAATCGAAGGTCTTAGGCCTACTTGAAGGCTACAAGGCTCCTGGGCAGTAGACAACCAGGAACTTTCTGAGCTAGTGTGTGCTATGGATTTGTGTGGCGTAGATGACGAGGATCGTTCGTGAAGAGACTTTTCTTTCAGTCGTAGTGGCGGCTGTTGTGTACCTGGAAGGAGAATCTGTGCGAAACGGGAGGGGTGTGGGGGGTGAGAGGGGATGGATGGAGTACACTCCGGATCAGAATTTGGAGTTCCGCGGAAAGCGTATGTGTGCTGGTGGGGAAGGGGGAGGGAGACTTTTGCCAGTTGCTTGGCATCTGAGGCCTGGTTCGTGATGGGGATCGGACGGTGCAGTACGAGATGGCGACTGAGAGGCTGACGTCGCACGGGGGAACCAACGTTCCCACACCACGCAGTTTCTTTGGCATCCCAGTGGGCTAGAGCCGGACCTTTCATCGGCGCATAACTATGGACCGGAACTGGGTTATGCCGGATGCACCCTCACAAAAAAGAGGCGGTTGTTTCGCTAATCAGACAGAAGGTAGACTGGAGTGGGGAGGAAGATGTCGTTGCGACGTCTGAAGTAGTTGGAGTGGAGAAACAGACCTAGCGTCCATGAATATTCGCTACCACTGTGGATGGGTACATTCCAGAATCAACTAGGACTCGAAGCATCGTTGTTGAAAGGGAAATCCATAAAAGATACCAGATGACGGAACGATTTTACCAAGAATACATACTTTTAGGCGAGTAAGAAGGAAACATTAAACATTTCCTATGGTCTCCGGCCTGAGGTATGGTGGTGTGGTCAGTCAGTGGCTGGTTGTGGGGTTTGGTATGTATGGCGGGGTCTGCTTCGTTTACCAATCAAATTGATGGAACGAAGGCGGGAAACACAGCTCCCGACCAGGGCTATTGCTAGGATTTTTGCTAGCTCGGACGATCCGGGCCCCTGTGAAAAAGACCCTGTAAATTACGAGCCAGTGGGAAAAAAGCCTTCACAAATCCGGGTTCGAGCCAGAAAAGGCCTGAAAGCCTACCTTACCAGAATCTCGCGGGATGGGGCTATGATCGTAAAACTCACAGTGGGTGAGAGACTCACTGTGGGTTTTACGAAGGCTGGGAAGGTTGGCCATTAAAAAGCGACGCTAGAGGGGGGAGAGAGACTTTCTGTATACTTAGAAATTTGTATACGTGGAGGAGTGCTAATAGCCACCTCAACGTAGTACCGGAAGTCAAACACCAGGAGGCCAAACCAGGAGCGAATGCTAAGGAAAATTCACTGAAAGTGGCCTATGCGTTGTACACGGGGAGAGGGAGGGGATGCGAGGCAGGTCGGGGACGATAAGTGTTCTAAAACTATCCGGGTCCCCTTGATAAAATCCCTGAGTATTCCGAGTGGGCTCAAAAAACACCCTTCAGTTTTACGAGCTGGTCCGAAAATTACCTTGTGAAAATCAGGATTGCTGTGAAAAAACCTTATAATTTCAGTCAAAACAGGGTAATTGCCCTGATAACGTAGGCACTGCTCCCGACTCGATTAGTCTCGGAAGCAACGCTGACCTGTGCCATGACCGTGACCAGCGTGCGATGGCGACGGATGATCACACGGGGCTCCGCCGAAGCCAGCCAGCTTGCTTCGGTTTGGTTTGGTCCCGCCCAATGTGAGGAGGGTCAACTTGCGGTTGGCCACGAAGGTGGCCGCAAGCACCCAAGTGCGGCTTTTACCTTTCCAGCTAAGGCTGACGTGGTGAAGGTGACTTATGAAATCAAATAAAAACTACTCGTTCGATTCCTAACCTGCTATAGCTCAGTTGGTAGAGCGGAGGACTGTAGTTGAGCAATCCTTAGGTCACTGGTTCGAATCCGGTTGGCGGGAAGGTGCAATTTTGCTTCGCAGTTAGGGCGGATCAGTTACCTTCACCCTAAACATTGATTTGACCTCTGTAGGATGTGAGACATCTCATTGAGCCACATTCAAACGAACTAAAAAGATTTGCCCTTGGACAATCAATGTGGACACTTCGTCTAGCACAATCCCCTTGAAGTGGGGCCAAAAATCCATCTCCACAGCTGAAGGCTGAAGCTTATCACCCTAGAGCTGCACAAAGACCAATCCATCACTAACACCATCAAACTTGCTATCTCAAACCCCAAAGCTTCATAGCTATTGCGCAGGAACAGCACTGGCAGCAACCGCAGCAGCAGCACCCTCACCCACAACACCATCTACAGCCTCCGCCCTGCCATGCACCAACCCAAGCTTCCTTTTCAGGTACACAATCAGATCCGCCCTCGATACCTCCTCCTCCTCCCTGCGCTCCAAGTCCTTGACCTTGACAGTCCCCTTGTCCAGCTCAGACGAGCCAAAGATGACCATCCAGGGGATGCCTGCCTTGTTGGCAAACTCCAGCTGGCGCTGCATGTTGGGCGAGGCGGCGAGCACAAACTCCGCCTTCACGCCCTCCGCCCAGAGCGCCGAGGCAATCTCCATGCGCGTGCGCAGCAGGTCCGGCCCGATGCTCGCCACCAGCACCTGCGTCTCCGTGGCTCGGATGAGCTGCGGGAGGGAGATGGTGGGGCAGAGAGAGGTGGTGGGGGGAGAGAGCAGGGCGGTAAGTGGGGTGGAGGGAGATGGGGTGGTGGTGGAGGGAGGGAAAGTGTAGGGTTGGCAGAGCATCAGAGGTAGGGGTGTCCATTTTGGGAACAAGGAAGAAGGAACTGTGCAGTGCGGTGGTACAAGGTACTGAATGGGTGCAGTGCAGTGGGAGGAGCACGAGCTGGCCGCACCTGGTTCTTCTTCCTCTCCTGCTCTTCCATGATGGTGAAGACGCGCTCGATGCCCAGGCTCACGCCCACCGCCGGCACCTGCTTGCCACTGAACATGCCCACCAGGTTGTCGTACCGCCCCCCCGCTGCTATCGACCCCACCTGTCACCACATGTGAGCCCACGGGATGCAGCAAGAGAGGATGGTGTGAGAAGGTCACGGGCGGATTCTGAGACACATGCTGAAAGTGCAGTTTAGGTTCAGGGCAAGTCCACTGTGCAGCGCATTTCCCCCACGACCCCTGCCCGAGTGTCAAATCAAAGTGGCTCAAAACCCATGGTAAGAAGCCACACACACCAATTGCCCCCATTCCGATGCCAGCCCACACCCAATCCCCATACTACCGACTAATTCCCAATCCCCAAAGTTTAGAGAAGCACTCACAGCGCTGCCGCCCTTAAAGACTGCCTCGTAGATGACCCCCGTGTAATAGTCCAGCCCACGCGCGAGCGACAGGTCAAACACCACACGCCGCACCGCACCACCCATGGCCGCCAGGTAGTCAAACAGCAGCGCCAGCTCAGCGAGCGCCGCCTGCGAGTCAGCGTGGCCGGCGAAGGGCGAGTCGGGCGCCTGGAGCGTGGCGAGCAGGTGGTGGGGCTCGCCCTTGTGCTTGACAAACTCGCCTATGCGGTCCGCTACCTCTGGTTGCAACCCCTTCTCCTCTATCTGGTGGGACAGAGGGTGTGAGAGAAGGGTACCATATACAGGGGGGGGGGGGAAGAGTGTGGGGAGGAGAGGAGGTTATTGAGAAGAATTGCAATACAAGCAGATTATGTAGGCAATGGAGTGATGGAGGGGGTGAGTCAAGACAAGCAGAGGTGAGGGGAATGTGGGAGGGTGTGGTATGGAGGGGCGAACCGATGGCTCAGGCAGCGAGATTTGAAGATGAGAAAAGGAGAAGACAGGGAGAGTATGGCGAGGTGCCAGGGGCCTCGGGTGCCATGATTAGCGGATGGCATGGGTTGCGTCTTCATGGGGCGGCATGGCATGCCATGGCCGCCCAGTCAAAGCGCAAGGATAACCAAACTCGTCACTGGCCCGTGGCAGGAACTCATGCATACAAACACACACACGCATGCAGCATCACGTAGAGGCAAACTACTGACCATTCTCTTGTTCACTCAACCCCACCACCCCCGTCACCTCTCCCAACCTGGCTTCCCATGCTCAAACCCCTTCTCTCTCCCTCTCCCCTCCCTCTCCCTCCCACCCACCTTCCCCTCTCCCCCCCTCCCCCTCCCACTCT